TCATGCAGACCCATTAAATTAAGAACAGCACAATGCTTACAGCAATATTAATTTATTATAAACATTCTCAGAGATACCGACTGTTCAACTGTATAGTTCATGATCTTTCATTCCGTACTTTGTGCAAGCAAAACAGGAGTCTGTTCAACCTGTGCCACATACTGGAAACTTGACACAATTTATGTTACATAAGAATGAAACTAAATGGGTGCCATTGTTTGGACCATTTTGACTTAAGATACTGAAATAAGAACATTAAGAATTAACTAAGGATGCTGCAATTCTAGAGGAAATAGTACATGACGACTTTCAACCTATGTGTGAAAAAATATCAGGGAACTGCCAAAAGCAAGCAGGATGCAAATGTTGCATCTAGAAGGGCTAGCAATTGCTTGCAAACTTTACCTTCATTTTTACTTAGTATTACAACATTGCCAAAAAAGTTACAAAATTACTCTAATGATCAAAATGCAAGAATTGTTATGCCAAAAAGTGCTTCAAACAAAGTATATTAGTTATTGTACCAAAACTTAGAAATCATTATTATGCAGATATATATGCCTGTGAATATTTTCAGGAAAACAGTACTCTTAATAGATTATTTTAAACTATGCAGCCATTTTTACTTGCCCACCATGCTCAGGCTGAGGATCCAAAAACTATCAAACTAATTTCAAGATCAAAGCTGTCCTCAAACAGAACTCCATAATGCTCCATGGCAACTAGTTTTGAAACTGAGAGGAGTACCAAGTCCACAATTTTATTATGTAAGGAAGGCATGAGAGTAACTATCAGGATCCTGGCCAAAAAGAGAGCAAATCCACAGTTGAAATAAGTGCCCCATCAACACAAAAACCATCACTAACCTAGCAAGAGCCACTTAACAGCACAATAATTCCAACCTGCAGTGCAATCTTGGCACCGAAAGTATGAAAAATGTTGGTGAATTTAATTCTAATGTGCGCTTGATTTGGGAAAAACAAGTTTTATTATCATAAATATACATGCACTAAAAAATTTACTTAAAACATATGAATTTAAGATTTCACTTTATTCAGCAAATTGGTTTATTTACACAATTGGGAATGCTGGTTGAGTTTTATCAGTGGAATAAAAACAATTCTAGTAGAGACAATACTGAACTCCCTTTACACATCTCCAGCAACACTGACCAACTTTTTCCTTACCTGTATCAGGAACATCAAGCACAATAGTGGAATAGTATCAAAAGACACTAGTATAACAAACCACTGAGGATCCAGTACACTGTGGGAATTTACCAATATGTTTGCCAAACCTTTTTTTAAAGTCAGCAAAATAAAACCAGCATTAATAGTTAGCATCAGAGTATAACTCTGAGATCAGCGGGTAGTAAAAACCTTATCAGACCATACATAATTCATAAAGTGATCTGATCTGCATCAAACCACTTTATCACAGAATCAAAAGAGACGAGAATAGATTTATTCTTTAAGACAACAATGATCTGATAAGGATTTAACTTAACAGACGTTAAAATAAGAGATGCAGAGCACAGCCCCTATTAGAACAAGCTAACTTTTCAGATGTCCAAAAAGAAAAAAAAATCACCAAAGAAAATAAAAAAAAAACACTTCAACATGAAGCTACTATACAAAGATTTTTTTTCCCATTTTCCATTAGAGTTCGGAGCTGAAATTTAATCCTGAGTCTTTAGTGAGAATGACAGTTTTGGCCTAGTTTTTCCCTTGCCTAGGATCATTTTTTGCTCTTCCTTTTGTTGACGTTGTCTTTCTTGTTCTAGTTTCATCCTTTCCTCATGAATTTTTCTTTGTTCTTCAACAATTTTCAATTGTTCTTCAGCCTATAACAGGAAAACAACAGAGTTTAGATAACATTTAATACTCCTTGCATAACATTACATATAACTTTGTAGTATTAGCACATATTTCTTGAGAAGAGCTGACTGCTACACCATTCTTTAGCATTAGGTGAAACTGTTGAAACATGAAGTGCAAATCCATGCTATATCCATAAACTATTTTGGATTACTCGAAGAAAATAAGCCATTTTCAAACTGTTTCCTATCATAATTTCAGTGAACTAGCTTTTTAATGAAAATACTTAAGTGGTGATTTATAGGACGCAGGGCTAGAAATAAAAACAAGAATCAAGACCAAAGGATGAGAGAAGTAAGTAAGGTAAAATAATGTTAAATGGAAAACTAGAACTATTTGGAACCACAAAAATCACAACTAGCTGAGATATGTTGACCCAAGATGCTTGAAGCTTAAAATCACTCAGGAACAAATTGCTATCTGAAATGACTGAACAACAGGTAAATAAGGATGAGCTGGTTAACTGGATGCAGAGACCAATTCATGGACTCAAAAAGGTATTCAAATGAGTGGTACGACCACAACAATGTTAAAAGATCAGCTTTAACCAATCCATCTAGAGAAAATTCCACCTAGAATTCATTGGGACAACAAGCAGAGCATCTTTCTTGTATTCCTAATCTATGAATTCAACCTACAGGATCAGATATAATCTGATCTGTAAGAGAGCTGCTAATGCAAATTAAAAGCTAGGAGTTAGGAATTCTAGCATAAAAGTTCAGAATTACTTTATTCAATATTTATACTTTGGATTGTACTTCAAGTATTACAGCTCCTGTAAAAAATTCCCTGTGGTTTCCACTTAAAATCTGTGATTAAGTCACAGTATTATACAATAAAAGTGAATCCATCATTTGCACAGTCATGATGTTTTCACCAAAGCATTTATTTTTATAACAATGGGGGAAGTTATCTATAAGCATAGGGAAGCAAGATCTTTTGCGTTCCAAAGGCTGCACATGAGATTCACATTCTCAGAAACAGTATGTGGGACCAGGACAAAATTTGAATTCATTTTCATTTAAATTACATTCAGTTAAAATGATAAATCATATAATCATTTTCAAGTCATGTATTTAATAATGTTCTCCTGTTACATTAACAATTTGGTAACATTTATAGATTTAAGGGGCCGATACCAAAGCTTTGGGGTTTGTCCATATCCTAGGGCATCAGGTTGACCACTTCTGCACTGGTAGTTGTATTTCTTTCAGCCTGGTCTTCCCACCACTTCTGTACAGAACTACTCTGGTGGGCTTCCCCAATATTCCTAAGCCAGTTTTCAGGGAGCCAGAAGAAAGAGACTATGACCACCTTTCCAAATCTACAGTCCCAACAAAGAGGTAAGCATTTTTAAATCAAATTATGGGCCTAAGAATCAGTTACATTATGCAAGTGTTAACCTGTAATTTCTGTAATCCTACCCCCACCCATGGATTTACTGCTTTATCTATAAGATTATAGTAAACATTTACTTACCAATTTAGCTTGTGCTTCTGCAATTTTTCGATTATTCTCTTCTAGTATTCGTTCAAGTTCCTCACGCTTTGCACGCTCTTCCTCCTAAAGGGGAGGATAGGGTAAGATGTTAGAAAAGTAAAATACTCACTCACCCATCTGCACTAGTCTTCCTAGGAATTCCTTCTGTGCACTGACTTAAAGGGGCAGCTTTATAGCCACCCTCTTCTCTTTCAAACAGCAAACTGTGCAGCCACTAAAATTGGTCTCTAGCTCTAAATTTAAATCATCCCTCCCAGTCCAAACAGCAACCAACTAAACCCTCCCTAATCAGAGAATCCTAGCCAGTTATTACTAGCATTTTAATATCACACAAATCAACAAGGACAACTACAAAACTGGATAGTATTTACCAAATTAAAAGAGTAATATATAAAATATAAATAAAGTGAATAGTTTGTCTCACCAATTATGTATACCTACGTATTCTTTACCTATACTCCTTTAATCAGCATTAAAAGTTGAATATTTACTGTCTTGTCCAGTGTCCTGCAGAGTGTGCTCCTCGGCTGCCATACGCGCCAGCTTCCTCTTTAAAATGATTTGTACTGTTAGCTTGGCAATGCCTGCATCAGCAGCTCAACCATTTATAAAGAAACAACATACAAGGAAGGCTGAGCTGAAGAATGCAGATGTTTACGGTAAGAAGGAACAAAAATATGTAAAACATTCCTAAGCAAACAATTAATAAGAAAAAATACATTTACTGTTAGCAAAAAGTACAAATGGTAATCCATATTCTGTAGAACTATGGGCTTCCTTTGTGGGTAAATGGACTGAACATCCTATAGTGTGACAAGTTTAAAGACAGTATTAAACTGTCCTTCTACCATTTAAACTGGAATTCAGGAGTCCAATGTAAGTATGATATAGAAATCAAGTCTAGGTTTCTTTTATAAAAGTTTAAAGAAACTTTGTTATGCAAACCATAAGCAAAAAGATTGCAGGAGTAATTTCAATTACCATCATAAATATTCAAGTTATTTTATATTTGGCAGTTTTTATAAACAGCCTGAGGTCTGCACAAAAATATAGTTTAATAAGAACAAAGCAAGTATTTGAAGAAATATTTCTTGCTATGTCTAGTAACCAGCTACAGGTTTGCACCCTTCACTCCAGGAATTCAAGATTATGCTGCGTAGTAAAAGTCCTGATGTGATCACTCACTGACTGATGTTTAATAATCTGCTCTTAGAATGGTGAGGGACCATGATTTCAGCCAAAATCCATTATATAGAGATTTTCAAAAAGATTTGTAATCTTATATAATTCAGCAGTTATGTAAAGCCAAAATCTTGATTTGTAGAATTAAACTGAATTTTCACATGCATTTTTACATTTTTTTTAATCATGTTGTATTATATTAAAAACTGTCTTATTAAAGCTTCTTTCCTATTATCAACTAAATTGATTAAAAGCAACTAATCAAATCATAATACAGGAAAAATATGGAGAGAGTTGTCTAACTCAACACTACTTTTAAGAAAGCTTAAAAAGAACTTTAAAATTTTGGGATCCTGGAGTGATTAGTGCTGACAAGCATTAAAACCTCCAGTAGCAAACTACTGTCTCACAGAAAGACATTTTCAGCTTCTGCTCCAGCTGCTGACAGAAGAAGTCACATGTTTAGCTCAACTTCAGACAAGGACAACCTGCTCTTTTACAACTCTCTAGTCTAGAGAAAAAGAAGGAGTTGTTAGTAGCACTAGAAAAAAATGGATCTCACGAATTTGGCATAAGCCTTTTGTGAAGGTGAATGGGACCACAGTTCCAGAATTACTCCACTGTGTAGTCAAGAGGAATGCATGACTGCCTTAGAGGAAAAACAAGAAAAACTCTTTCTTTAAGATAGGTATTGCAGCTCAATGATGGACCCTGCTGGTAATTTTGTTCTTGCTGACTGAAGGCATAAAGCCTCTTACAGTCTAAATAAAACAAAACAAATGAAGGATACATAGTCACAGATTGTTCAACCCATTCCCCCAGTTAAGAAAGAACTGTGGATATATCCTGCAGCCATGGCAAAAGTTTCAAACAATTCTTAAATAAGTAGGTCAGTTCCATTAAAATTCAAGTATCCTTTCACAGGTTTTAGAAGAATGTTTGAGGTATCAGTTAGCTCCTCTGAATAAGTTAGAAATTAAGTTTCGCAGCAATGCAAGTTTACACAAGAAAGGAATTAGATTTGCTGTATTCCATCTCCTTCTCAACGCAACAGGAGGCACAACCCAGCACTGAAAGTTTTGCCATGGACTGTCTCTACTTTCCAAACGACCGAGCGTTACCTCTCTGGCCTTTTGTGCAGCAAGTTCAGCTTGTCGCTGTCGCTCGAGTTCTTCGAGCAACTGTTTTTCCATGATGCGCTTAGCCTCCTCCACCCTGCGGAGAACTTCCCGCTCAATTTCATCTTTCCGCTTCTCCAGTTCTTCTTCCACTCGCTTTGCTACAAGCTCCTCCACTCTTCTGGCTGTCTCTTCTTCAATAAGTTTTTCTTCTATTTCTTGTTGCCGACTATAGGGAGAGAAATATTAAGAATTTTTCTCATGCCAAGTCAATTAACATCTATGTCACACTTAAGGAATATCATATTATATACATTAGGCATATACATTGTAATATGTAAATGTTGCAAAAAGTATGTAAATGCAAAAAGTAGGTTATAATTTTAGGAACAAAAATAACTGTAAAAGTAGAAATATAAGATTTGAAGCACTGCTTTCCATATGCAATTGCATATATCTTTAAATGACACATTATAATTACAAGCATATTTAATCTTAAAATTTATGAGCCAAAGCCAAAATAAAGCCAAAAGACCATGGTAGAATCTTTATAATATTAAAAACGTATACAGTCTCCAACTATCTAATGGCAGAATACTATGAATATGTTTCAAACAGATGAATTACATCTGCTGTGCTACAATATAGAACTCCTCAGGTTTTAACATCTAGCACTTCATGATAATTCAGCAGAGAATTCTTTCAAGCAATGAAATGTGTTGTCGAAGCATTATTGTCAAACCATAAGGTAGTCTATCAGTTATTCCACTGGACAAAATGCAGATTTGATGCAATAGTTAATTTTTTTTTTTAATTAAAGGTTTAAAAAAAAATCATCCAGAACAAAACAATCAACAAATCATGAGCTAGAGCAGCAATACATGTCTATTGTAACAGTGCAATATATTGGAATAAATTCTTTTGAACACATAGCAGATGCTATAGACAGCAATATCTTACTGATACCATTTATATTCCCAATTTTTACCAGATCATAAAACCAAGAAATAAATTTAGACTGGAGCACTAAACTCCTCAGATTTTAATGAAGAAGCATATTAAATATTACCCAGTTAAATGAATAATTTGGGAAAATGGAATTGCATTCATTTTGATACTACAGAGTATATTATGCTCAATAAAAAGTAAAGCAGGTACTCTAGTAATGTGTTATGCCATCTGTCTCTTAAGCACCAGTTACTTTCTTTTACCTTTTTGATCTTTAACCCTGTTTTAACTATTGGCTTCATAATGTCAAATGTCTAGAGTTTTCATAACACACTGATTTTGACAGTATCAAAATGCTGATCAACTTTTGTTACTGACTAGGTAAATAGAAACTAAGTCAAGATTTTAATTACTTAGTTTCAACAGGTCACCTTAAGCCCTTGACATTCCATATTTCAGTTTGAATCAGAGTGTAAACTTCTCATATTTATAACAGAAACTGACATTTTAATGCAAGCGTTGCACTTTACACAGCAATGTTACACAAATCACAAGACTGATATAGGCCTTCTGTCAAAATGAATCTGACGAACCAAGATTATAAATATAATCTAAAACAACGTAATTGTTTACACAGAGCAAACTCTTGGCTTTCTACACCAAGTTTAATAAAAAAAAGCAGGTGCATTAATCACAGCAGCTTAGACTAGGCTTTTTATTGTTATTTTTTTTAGCAATAAGAGAGCATTGGAATATATTCATGGAAGCTGCTAAGCAAGGTCTATTAGGAATTAGAAAATCCTACCTCACAGAAATTACCACTGAACTTCCCTAAGTGTCCATGGTGGCAAAATTGATTATTTAAAAAAAAAGGGGGGGGGGGTCTGGCAGTATAGAAATGAGAGAAATAAATTAAAATGAAATTTATTTTCTTTTTATTATAACTCTAACCCTAATAATACTAGATTAAAAATGTAAATTGAAACCATAATATCAACTCTTGTCAAATAAAGCCAGCCTACTTCCGGTCCCCTCCTCCCTCTCATCTTCTTTACTAATACATAAAGTATGGCGCTCAAATAAAACTACCTATTACAGGCATTGGGAAAGTATCAGTCATGTAGAAAAAAGGAACTGCAAAATCTGCAGTTAGAAAACTGCAATTATAGCTCTCAGGAAAGGGGAGGGAGAAGGTCAAAATAGCAAAGAATTGTCCTGAGGATATTTAAAATAAATTATTATTCTAAATAATTCTATCCTAAGCAACAGAAGTGTTCATGCACTGAAAAGTAATATAAAGGTAACAACATCCTTGAGTCAAGCTCAATTTCTGGTAAGTATACAAATATTACCCTATCTTTTTCCAGGCAACAATATGGAAGTGTATTGTCGAAGGCTTTCACGGCCGGCATACGATGGCTGGTGTGGGTCTTCCGGGCTGTGTGGCCGTGGTCTTGAAGTTTTGTTTCCTAACGTTTCGCCAGCA